CCCCGCCCCCACACAGCCTAACAGACACCGAAACCACCACCGACCCCACACAGTGTGACAGGCACCGAAACCTCCACCGACCCCACACAGCCTGACAGACACCGCCGAGCTCTGCGGTGGAGCTGGGGAGGGAGAGCAGCCACAAGCCCAGGCGCTGTCGGAGGAGCAGGATGAAGCTCTGGGGTCTGTGCATCCCACCCAGCCCCTCCAGGGAGAGCCCCCCCTGCAGCTGCCCGTACCTGCTGCCTGCCCTGCTCACAGCAGAGCCTTCCTCGCCCTGGTGCCGCAGCTCCTCAGGCAGGGAGGGAGAGCAGCTGTACCCGCTGCTCCCGTTTTTTGCGGGCAGTGCTGGGCTCCCCGCACGGAGGGGCAGAGCCTGGGGAGAGGAGGCGTTGGATGGATGTGTGGGCACCTTCCTCATTTGGCAGCACCTTCCTGGCGCAGGAGGCCCTGCCTTTGTTTGAGCTGGAGGTGGGACCTGCTCGGGGGTGCTCAGGGCCCCACTGCAGCCTGCAGAGACCAGCCTGGCCCAGGCACAAGGGAAGCTTTAAGCACCACATCCACCCCACGCCGGCAAAAGTTTCTGCCGGTCTCGCAGAGGGAGGATGAAAATCCCAGCTGTGTCTCGCCTCCCAGGTGCTGCCAGCCGAGGGCCACACCAGCAGCCTGAGGGACAATGTCAGGGTGCAGCAGTAATGGCCACAGAGCAGACAAGAAGCTGCTTTTACAGTCCCCAGGGAGAGCTTGAGGTGCTTCGTGGCGCTCAAAGCCACACATCCAACCCATGGCAGAGCTGCACTGGGTGAGCACACAGAACAACACAGCCCACAAAGCCAAACTGACCTTCCCCCAGGGCCATCAGTCTGATATTCCAGGTCTCCTGCTGAGGAAGGTATTCATCCCACTCTTTCAAAGATTAAAATCCGTGTCAGATCAGAATGAACCAAAGTACCACCAGCAGCAAATTCTCAAGCACCCCCCATTTCTCCCGTTCCCCCAGACCGATGACTCGACACGGACAAACACAGCAGCAGGTGGCAAGTGCTCCCAGGGCAGTTCTCCAGCTGCTGGAGGGAATTGCCCGGATCAAACACAGGTGCAGAGGGACAACCAGGCCACACCAGTGTTTGGTGGAAGCAGGACATGAGTCATGTCTCCTGACAGCAAACACTGTACCAAAGTGCCACCAAACCCTTAACCTTGCTCACCATTACTGTACCAGTATCAGTTTGTCCCTGCTCCTCTCACGAGCTGTGTGTAACGAAATCAAATGAATACAAAGAGGTAACCCACAACCCCAGCCCCATGTTCCACCACCAGCAATTAGCATTGACTCACTCCTGGTAAACTAACCTGAGTGGGCACCTCCGTCAGCCCTTTTTCCACATTTGTGCAGACCACCGACCGCTGAGCCCAGACACGGACGTGGTGTTTGCAAGGACACTCCTGACCCGAAGGCGTGTCACAGAGTCAACAGCAGGCAGCCAGCAGCTTGACGTGGCTCCAGGTCCTGGCAAACCCTCACCCACAAGGGAACAAACACAGGCACAAGGAAGGCTCTTGTGTTAAGATTTAATAATAATAATAATAATAACAACAACATTTCAAAAACAATGAGTGCATTGTACACGAGATCTGCTTTCAGTGCTTTTTATTGACTATCTGCCCCACGAGTGTCAGTGTACTGAAGACCTGGGGAGTGGTGAGTGGATAAAAAACCCCTTGGGGCCGGAGGCAGCAGGGGCTCAGAATCTGACGAAGGTGGCATCGATCTGCCGCACAGTTGGGAGTGCCAACATGATCTTGCGCCGGTACTGGGGATCCTTCTGCAGGGGGTTTCGCTCCAGATATACAGTCTCCAAGTTCTTGGCTCCTTTCAGCTCATCCAGGTCGCTCCAGCTCTCCACGAGGTTGTCGTTCATCTGCAGAGCACACACAGTCCTGCTCACACCTGTGTGTGCCCCAGGCTGGGCCTAGCTAGCCCTGCTGCCCAGGAGGATCACTGCCACCAGGAGCAGCAATGCTGCACAGGCTGCACATGCAATCAAGACCACCCTGCCTACACAATCCTTCTCCCTCTGGAGCCTCCAAGCTGTGCTTTCCCATCTCACACCCTAGGCCTTGCTGCCCTTCCCAGCCTCCCCATGCTGTCCTGGCTGCTGGACAGATGTTCCACCCTTCAGACTGCATATCCAGCCCAGTTACTGTACTGGGAGAGACCCTGCAAGGCACCAGGCCAGTCTCTTTGTACTGTTTCCCATTCCATACAATGTGCATTTACAGACTGGAAATCTTGATATCAAGATTTCCTTCCACTGTGACATCTATATTTACTTGAATGACTGCCTAGGAAACATTAAAAAAGGTCCCAAACTGATAAGAAAAGCAACATTTTCCTGTCTTCTCTGTATCACTTCCCCACAAAATCTGCTTCTGCACTCTGGAGAAAGCCCCAAGCTCTGGTCTGGGCTGTCCTCCTGCCTCATTGCTGGCACAGCAAAGGGACTCCCACAGAGAGGTGAGTGCCACAGCTGCCCAACAAGGCAGCAAAGCTGGGAGGTGGCCACGTGCTGCCCAACCCACAGACACCAGCACCCTTTGCCTTTGGTATAGGGTCACTACAGCAGCTTCAAGTTAAATGTACAAACCCTCAGTGGAATGTCTCATTCTGCTACAGCTCATCACAATGTCACTGCAGCCAAGTTTGGATCTGCCCTGTCCTTTCAGCACAAGTGCAACCAGCTGTGCAATGCCAACACCTCCTACAAGCATAGCAACGGCAAAGAGGAAGACTGGAGAAAATTGCACAGGATCAGGACAGGTCCCACACCAGCCACACTGCACTGCCTCACTTCCACTGCCCCACAGATGTCACGTTTAAACAGCTCCTCAGCTCCTGTTACCTGGAGGTCCTCACAGAACAGGCACGGACAAGTAACACTGCTAGCTGTCTCCTGAGCCACACTGCAGGATGAGGAAAACGGTCCCAGCAGCCTGGACTGCAGACTCCAGCTGGGTTTCACTGGCAGCTGCTTTCCACTCCTTTTCTCTCAGCCTCTGCCCAAGAGTTTGAATAACTGAACTCCACATAACAGATGTTAAGCAGCACAACTCTCAGCCTTGAATGCAGAAACTCTACAAGAGCTAATGCAGTTCATGCATATCTGC